TTACAAATGTCTTACATCATTGCCATTCTTCCGCCTACGGAGGACACCATGGTAGCTCCCGCACAGCAGCAAAGGTGTTACAATCTGGTTTCTTTTGGCCTACTCTTTTCAAAGATGCCAACACCTTTGTTAAAAGTTGCGACCGTTGTCAACGCACTGGAAACATCGGGAGGAGAAATGAAATGCCTCAAAGGGGCATTCTTGAAGTTGAAGTATTTGATGTATGGGGCCTTGATTTCATGGGCCCATTTCCGAAGTCAAATGGAAAGGAATTCATCCTCGTGGCTGTGGATTATGTATCAAAATGGGTTGAAGCAATTGCCACATCCACAAATGATTCAAAAGCGGTGATCAAATTTATTCGAGGGAACATTTTCTCTCGATTTGGAGTCCCAAGAGCAATCATCACCGACAATGGCACCCATTTTTGCAATAGAGCATTGGGACGAGTTCTTGCAAAGTACAGGGTTCATCACCGACTCTCTACCCCGTACCACCCGCAAACAAATGGCCAAGCCGAGCTTTCAAACAGAGAAATTAAAAGAATCCTTGAGAAGGTTGTTAATCCTTCAAGAAAGGATTGGTCTGACAAGCTTGACGATTCATTATGGGCATACCGCACGGCATTAAAAAATCCCATTGGCACATCCCCATATCATCTTATGTATGGGAAGGCATGTCATCTTCCTATTGAGCTAGAACACAAAGCATTTTGGGCGGTTAAAAATCTCAACATGGATCTATCATTGGCGGGTGAAAAGAGAATGTTGCAGTTGAATGAGCTCGAGGAGTTCAGACTCGCAGCTTATGAAAATTCAAAGATCTACAAGGAGCGAACCAAAAAACTGCACGACAAGGTAATCTCTAAGCGAGATTTTGCACCAGGAGATTAGGTACTTCTTTATAACTCTCGCTTTAAATTATTCCCTGGTAAGCTGAGGACCCGGTGGTCCGAACCATTCGAGGTAATGGAAGCATTTCCCTCCGGAGCTGTGCAACTTTGTGGCAAAGATAACGCCAAATTCATTGTAAATGGGCAACGTTTGAAGCGTTATCTTGCCAACGATCACCAATAGGGAATGCTACTCTATTTCCTCAAAATGCCTGATTACAAGTGATTGCATTGGTCAAGCTACTAACCATAAATAAGCGCTTCTTGGGAGGCAACCCAAGTTTTCAAATTCTGCATTTCTTTTATTTTTTAATAAGGTAATTTGATTTTAATAAGGTGTTTTCCAATTCGCGCCATGTAAAAAAATCAATTTACCAATTTTTTTGGGAATTGTTTATTTAATTCTCCTTCATTTATTTTACACTGAGGACAGTGTAAATTTTAAGTGTGGGGGAGTGGGTAGATAAAACTTGATGTTTTGTGTGCATTTTCAAATAACAAAAAGAGAAAAAAAATTGCTCTTAATTTTTTTTGTTTTATTTTTGTGTGTTTGTGTTGAATGATGAACAGTCTTGATCCAAAAAGTAAAATTGAACTTACAAATTCTTTTTTTTATATGTCTTGTTAATATTTATATACATAACCTTGTAAATTACAAAATTATCTCTTTTGACGGAATGTGGTATGAGTTTGAGAATTGTTTCATTATAACATCTTGAGAGTAA